TTATTTTGTGAAAACCAAGAAGCGCTGAGCAGAAAGGACTGTGTTTCCCAGCTGTTGTACGTAAGCGGCACCTAGAGATGGCCAGGTTAGCACAGGCAGCATTCAGATGTTGGCGTGGGTGATTGGGAAGGGGACTCCTACCCACGTTGAAGCAGCAGAGCTGTTTGTGGGCATCCTGTGAAGGTCTGTAGGGCTATGAAAATGCTGCGAATTGAGTCAATTAATTACTAAAGGCAACTCTTTGAAAACGACAGCTTTTCTAGCCAGGTAGCTCTGTGATGGACGTTCACTGGAGGGTCCCAAAGACCATTTCCAAATCACTTGCGCTGCCTCGCCTCAGTGCCCCTCTCTAAGATAGGGTTTAGCACTTTTTAAAAATGCTTTGAGACCTGCAGATAGAAGCAGCTTTGAGAACAAATGTTTATCACAACGCAATGATTGCGTTTCAAGGAATCGTACGTTCATGGCCACAACATGCCCGTGACCGTTGTGCATTTCAGCATGTGGGAACATGCAGAGGCATTGCTGATAAACACCGCTAATATGCTGAACTTCTAGTAAAAAAAATTAAACATACTTTCTTAGTAGATATGGCAAAGTTATTTGGGTTTTTATTCCCTTTAGATGTGATGATGATGATAAAATAATGAATAATTTTGCTTTTGAACCAGCAAGAACTGTGAAAAGGAAGGGAAACCTGCTTGAAGGCTGTTGATGTGTCGGGTGTACTGAGGGCAGCTCTTTCTCTTGCTCTGGAGACACAGCTTTGGGTTTCTCAGTCTCTTCACCCTGCAAATATTTTTGACCGTAACAATACAAATTTCTCTCCTGCATGTGGCAGAATCAGAAGTTCTGTGCACATAGTAAACACGTTTTACGTGCTCAGACTTGAAAAGCTGAGTGAAGGTCCTTTTTTTTTGGCTAGAACATGCCATTATGATCGTCTTGACTGACCTTTCAATTTATCACAGGCAGTAGGACTTCTCACGTGATGCCCAATCTGGGGCTGAACTAGACAGACTTTTAAAAGAAGTCTAGTGATCAAGAATTCATCACAGCCTTTAACATAATTGCTGCAATGACCGATTAACTCCATAAACATTTACACTGTGTTTCCAGCCTGGATTTTATTGTGGGTTTTTCTCTTGGTTTTCACCGGGAGGCTGAGGCCTCCAGTCTCGTGGGTTGGCTGCCCAAAATCAAGTCACCCCAACATTTCTCTCCTGAGCTGACTGTAGCATAAGCTTTCTTTCTATAAGCAGAGTTTTCCCATTACTCTCACCCTGGTCTCTGAATGGTCTCCAGTATTTTGACGTGCGGATGCTGGACCTGGTCACAGTACGCCAATAGCTGTCTTGCTGCTGCCAAACCCTGAGGTGATGTCACTCTTCCCTTTGAATTTGTACTTCCACTCTGTCGATGTGGGACTCTCGTTAGTTCTCTTTGCCACAGCGCCACGCCGGGAGTTGCGCTCCGTGAGCAGCAGAACCGAGAGCACTTCCCTCTGCCGTTCATTCTGTACCCCCACGGGCTGCGGGCCACCTTCACTCGATTTTTAGCTCACGTGAACACATTAATTCCTTGATTTAGCAAAGCATTCAGCATTCCCTGTATCCCAGAAGACATCCTATGGCAATAAGGACCAGCCACCTAAGGTCCCCCTTCCCACCACCAGCTCATCTACCAGATGGGACCGCAGAGCCCGGCACTAAGCGACGCGCGTCAGGCGAAGAGGTCAAGAGTCGTTTGAGGGTGAGCAGCCACAGATCGGGGAGCCGTGCAAGGGCTCGCGTGGTTTGCCCTCGGCCTTTGCAAAACAAAACATCGGCAGAACTGAGGAATTGCGTTTTAAGTCCCGCCAGTGTGCGCTCCGAGACGCTGGCAGGCAGCAACGTCGGCCGGGGGGCCGTAATCGGCTGCTGCTGGAGTGCAGGCCGGGGCGCGTCGCGGAGCTCGCGCGCTGCTATTGTCAGCCAAGCCCGAAGCCTTACTCAGAAAGTTGATCTTCCGTCAAGTAACTCTCGTCTGAAGTGAATAGGCCCTTGATTAAGGACAGACCAGGCTTTCATTAAGACTTCCTTGGCCCGTTCACAGTAGCTGTGACCTCGTTATGCCTGCTGAAGTAAATATTGCATCCGCTGGGAACACGGGCATGTACAACAGACAACAGGAGCCCTTACCCTGCGGCTTCTCATTTCGGGCAGAGTTTTGTTGTCTCTCTGGCCTCTCGCTGGAGCCACCAGTTATCCAAGGGAAGCCCCACAGCCTGAGAGCCAACAAAAGGATATCGTCACAGCTGCTTTAACAGACGTGCTGCAGGCCCAGGGAGGGAGCGGTGGGGCCCACGAGCCAGCAGAACATACGAGCAGATGTTTGGTTTCACCTGTAGCCAGCAAATTGCCAAAGCAATGGGAGAGAAGTAAGAAGCAGCTTATTTTGGTGTGAAGGTGCTGTGCTGGTAGCTTGTACCTGCAGCTGACTTTGGAAGTGGCTTTTTCCCACCCTGTAAGCGTGGCAGAAGACAGGCCGTGTTCTCCACAGCTCCCCAGGCAGCGTTGTACCCACTAACATAAACGTTTGAAGTGTGTATCTCGTTATAGGTGAGAGAGATACTGTGAAGACAGAGCTCTTTTTAGTCTGATATGTACCTGTACCTTCCGACTCGGTCTCCTCCCTCTGCCAGGGAGGAAGGGCTCTCCTCCTAGCCTGAGTGGCCCAACATGGACAGCCTGGAAGGCTTCCTGCACCACGGGGGGGGCAGAAGCGAAGAGACCTGGTCCTGTTTGTGGGAGCAGCTTGTGCAGAAAAGGGCTTGGGCTCTTCTCTCCCTCCCTCCTCCTCTTTCACAGACCCACGTTTGATAGAAAAAGCTAAAATGCTTCATTGCTCCAGCAGGAGAAGGACCTCAGTCCCAGCTGCTGCTAATGCTGGTCCCAACCCTGCTCTGCTTCCCTGAAGAGGCCACCGTGGCTCCCAGCTCCCTCCCGTGCTCTGCCAGTAGTGCTGTGCTCTACTGACTACAAAGGCATCGCTAGGACAACTATAACAAACCATGGCACGTGTGGAAAGATCAGTAACTATATTCTAGTTTATTGACTGCAGTCAAGTTCTATTATGCCTCAAATAATTAAATACTGCAACCATGACATTAAAAATACAGGCCAATTTACCAAAATAATTGTATTCTGAAGATTATGTACATATTATACATTTTACAGTATCATGTAAACTTTTTTTATACATAAGGTAAATCTGATTTACGGTAACTAGAAAACCCAAAATACCAGCTGACAAAAATATTCCTAGGAAACGTAAGCACTGTGTCTGGGACAGTTAGGAAAACTGCAAAGAACGGAAACCAACTATAAAACATAACGTAATTGAGTTAGAGTAGAAAAAAAGGAATTAAGTTACATTCATATAAAAAGAAGTTACACTAAACCCATTGCTAGGCATCATTATTAAAAAGGGGAAAATCCCAAACTCTCTCCTTTCATATATTAACACACCCTTTCACGGGGAGCTACTCCGCGCCTCATCTCCAGCAACGAGGCACAGCCTAGGAAATCCAGATTCCCCTTCTCCTTTTAACATATATTAAATAACATGGGTCTGTACCACTACAAATATGGTGTATATTCATGCACTGTGATTATGTTCATAGTCGCCTCCCAAGGCACAGTTACTGGGTCGGTCCCCCCCCACCCTCACGTTTCGGCATGCAGTGCTCAGAGACGCTTGCTGTTCAAAAAAAAAAAAACCAAACGTCCGTGGGATTTGCCTCTAGTCTGATTTTCACACTAGAGGACACAGAAATCCTTCCAGCATAGACTTAAAAATAAATAAGAAGGTGAAGGCCTTAGTGCAGCATCTCGCACCAATCACGGCAGCTCAGTGAAGATGCCTCAACCCTCTCCGCAGTCCCCGGAAAGCGTGTCACGGAGGTGATGTAATTGTATTTCTCAGGTCAAATCCTTTATCTATTAAACGAGGACAACAAAGTTGTTCCTTCAGTAAGTCTTCATTCCTGTGACAGCTGTAGTGCGGTGACTTGGCATCACGGATCTTCCAGTCTAAACGGGTTTCTAGCTCACAGCTCAGCACGGCACACCACCATTTGCATTATCTGCTATGTAGTGCATGTAATTGAAGTACCTAGGCATGCTCATTAAAATAAATGCATAATTTAACCGTATATAAACAGCTGCCACAATCAACAGCTGCGTTACCCTGGCTGTATTTTGAAGGCTTGTAAAACTTGCATATTTTATAACTGTTCTGCACCTATCAAAGGCCTGGTCCGGCCAACAGCTAGGCGTGTGCTTCTCTTGGAGGATCTGAAGAACCTCAGGAGATTCTAACGAAGGACACCAGCCCTGGGCCTCTCCCAGCCCCGCGGCGCCTGCCGTGGAGGGGTGGCGTGGCCAGCCATTAGGCATAAAAGTTGTGTCAAGGAAGACAACGAGAGTCGGCGCGACTCAGGTCGACTGGGTTTAGGCACTAGATATTCCCTCAGATGTCAAAGGTATCTGGAATTAGACCAAACGTCTGTGTCAGACCTGGACAAGGTGAAAACGTAATCTGAAATGGCCTTTATAAAACACGCCCAGAATTACAAAAAAAATTAAACCTGTATGATGTCTGTTTATGTACAGCTTTAATAGAAAAGAAATCCTAATCTAGAGTATCAAAACACCGTAGTCATATAAACATAGGAGAGCATCTAATAGAAAAGTAAAAAGTGTAGAACACAAACTTTTCCTGGAAATTAAATATCCTAAAAAAGTTGTTTTGTTTTGTTTTTTTTTTTTAAAAAAAAAAAGGAATTTGTGTGCTTCTGAAAAAGAAGAGGACTACATCTCCCCTCGTCTATGAGTTTTTGCTGCAACAGCTCTGCCTTCCTCCTCCTCCTCCTCTTCCTCTTCGTAATTTTCCTCATGAATTTCTTTCTGGTTGTTCTCTTCTTGCACTTCTTGCTCTTGATCTGCCCCTCCATTATTCTTTTCATCTGCCTGATTGGAAAACAAACAAACAAACAAACAAAACAATCCAAAGCAAACAATTGTTGGTGCAACTGCCAGTTTCCTTATAGTTTATTTGAGGGCAGTGAGATGGATGAAGTAAAGGAAGAGGAAAAATAAGTCAGCTACAGTCATCAGAGCTGATGGACAGAAACAGGAAAAGAATTTCAGAGGCCCCCAAAGCAGCAGGAACGGATGTGGGGGTGGAAGGATGAGCAAAAGGAGGTTGGGACGGCATGGAATTTTAAGGGCTATAATCTAAAGCAAGCCACAGCACGTATTATATAATGTCACTGTGACACGATCAATCGCGTCACCGAGTCTGGGGGCTTCCACAGGACTTACGTTTTCGTCATTTTCACCATATGGCTCCTCAGCATTGCGTTCCAGTTCTCGTTTCTTCTCTTCAGTCAAATCTTCCTGGATCTACAAAGCAGAGAGGTGTTCTCTGCGGTTTAATTTCCTTTGAAAAAGTAGCCTGGGGCATAAACGCACACGTTTTCCCAGCTACACTTTTACAGAATGAAGATTCAAAAGAAAGGGAGGAGAGGGCAGGGAGAGGTTCAAGGAGGAAGGCCCCTACACACCCCCCACCCACCCCCCAACAATCAGGAAACTCCCTGCCCCTGAGAGCAGATTTAACTTCCAGCTACAGCGTGCAGACCCTCTCATCCCCAGCTAGCACACTGAGATTTCCACTCCACGATTTAACTTCCCCTATATATTATTTTCTCCTTGTCCATCACAGGGAGAGTGTCGTGACGCAGCAGAGAGTCACGACTGACGCTCCCACCCCACCCTGGACTCCTAGAACTGTTTCGGTTCCGATACACAACAGGAGTATTTCACGGTAACGTTGTCCCTGTTTTCCCAGCAGTTTAGCGACCCTTCTGCCAGCTGCTCCTGGGAGAACCACAAAAGAGCACGGGGGGACTGGGAGCAAAGAACCCTCTCTTCCAACTCTAGCCTTGGAGAGCACAGGCCACCCTGAATCTGTTTTCCAGGTGTTCAGATCCCCATCTAATCCCTTCCTGGCTTCCCGCCCGCGCTCCCCCTCACTTCCACGGCCCGTTACGGGTAGGCGCAAATTAGGAAGAGGCGCGTGTTTCGAAGGAAGCTCGATCGCTTTTGGAGAACGCTGTCACACGTATCTGCTCCACCGGGCGGCCTGCAAGCCGGGTAGGGTGAGGCCGTACACCTCTCCCCACGGACAAAAGCTGTTTCTCCTGGCTGGGAAGCACTCGCCGCTCAGCGCTGCCGCCTACCCCGAAGAGCCAGGATGAGGGCGCCGCTTTCGGCCGGACTCCCTCCCTCGAGCAGCTGCTGCCACATTCTCCCGAACAGCAACAGCCCCCTCACCACCAGCAGCAGCAGGAGTGGATTTGGCAGTTGCTTCCAACAGGAGGCAAAGCTGCTTGAGAACAAGTTTTAGGGTTCGGCATTGCTGCCAGCAGAAGGGCAGCCATCAATCCCGGATCCCTTTGAGGGATACATGGGAAAGATCTGAACAACAGCAGTTGTGTAATATTCGAGTCAAGCTACTAAAGAAACTATTCCTGATTACAGCATCTTAACTCTTTCTTGATTGCTCATTCAATCACTGCTCCCTCTTTGGGATTTCCAGCAAGCACCGCGGTGACAGTCCTTTAGAGACATGTATTAAATCACTTCCCGTAAGCCAGAAAGTAGTTGCCAAAGGCCAACAATTCCCAGTTCCTGATGACCTGGTTTGATTTAAGTAACTGTATTTTGAACTGGTGAATTCCAAGTGCATACCAGCTAATCTAGACAAAGTGTGTTCTCCGTAGGGGAGTAACGAGTCGCCAATTCTATTGCTTTTTGTAAACCGTTAAGTATGAGGCATAAAAAAGCAAATGATTAGGTAGGTATTGAAGAACTGCAGGGCAGCCATGCTGGTCCATGCATAACGAGCACGCCCTTCGCCATACGGATGAAAAAGTCCCTTCCCCTCCTTTTCTCCTCGAGTTCAAAGCAACGTGCCAACCGCCTCCTGACTGTTTGACTCCACCAATAGTAGGGGCTCACATAACTGGGATTGCTCAGGAGGAGCAGGGATAAATCAAAAGTCAGAGCTAAAGAGTAAGGAACTGGCCAAGGAAGCAGCCTTGCCTAATGAGAGATGCAAAGTTCATGAGGTTTTCCGTGACTTTCAGAGGGCTTGAGGTCTGCAGGAATTTTTCCTTGCGTTGTGAACGGCTCCATCTTTTCAATTATTGCACAATTAATACCAGTTTGCACGGAAGACTAATGGATTGCAGCACATAAGCATGAGCAACGCTAAACATGCCCAGAAGTGGACAGCAGAGTAACGGCAGAGACTTCCCGGGTTTCACAGCCAAAGCGATTTGGGTTCATCTTGCAGTTATAAAACACCCCAACGCTGAATGTTAACGGCGGTGTGCTATATGCTACCTGAGTCCACATATGCCTTAGGTCTGTTTTCTTACCTCCTCTTCTCCCTCTTCCTGGTACTGTTCATCCACGTTATCTTCCTGCTGGTCAGGATTCCCTGCCATCTGCAGAAAGATCGTACAAAGCTTCGGTGCTGTGCGCATGCCTAGTAACTTGAGAGGACTGAAGGTTAAAGCTTCTTGTGTTCCAGAACTAGAACTTTATGTAAAGCTAAAGTAACAAGAATAGCACGAGAAGTCCTGGTGCGTTTGTTAGCGTTAATGACAGCCCGGCTGTGTGATTTAGAACCGCCCTAAATTCAAAAACAGGCAGCAGAATGATTGTAATAAAAATCACTGAACAGAGTAAAGCAAGGCTTTCCATACTAAGCAGGAAGACGATGAAATAGTCACATCACTAAAGCCCAATGCCATAAAAATACCGATTATCTCTGCCTAGAGGAGTTTACAGTTTAAGGGCGGTTGAGACGCGCAGCGTTCACTGGAAGGGCCACAGAAGGGAAGCGACACCGCCACCGACAGCTGCCCGAGCGCTGGCGGCCGGGGAGCAGCACGGAAGGGATCTGTGCAAGGACACGGAGATGGTATGAACGGGTGCTCTTGCAGGGGCTTGTGTGAAGGGGCCCTGAACTATGAGACTGCAGAGCCTCGCTGAGTGGAGCCAGCGATGAAAGCCACACCAGCGTGCCACCAGGAGTAACTCCCCGCCTCCACCTGCACGTGTCATCCCACACGGCTTCAAAGAGATCTTTGCCAACAAAGTTCAGCGTTCTCTCACCAAGCTGTGCTACACTGTCCTTAAAGAGGGTCTAGAGATGCTTCCTTTCCCTTTACTGACCACTAGGTGCTCTTCCATTCCTGGAGGTCCTTGTTTCTGACTGCTTTGCTTGTGCTTTTCGTTTTCATCTGGTAGATTTTCTTCTCTCTCTTGCTCAGCTTCCTCAAATTCATCTTCTCCCTGATTGTTGGGGTCATCAGCAGGATTCACATCTTCCATGGCTGCCTTCTGTAATTTTCAGAAGTGAACGTTAAATAAGTATTTGTATCTCACAGTCAAATTCCATTTCCCTTGAAAGCTACCCTAGCACGAGCTATGGAGAGCCAACTCCACACCCACCGAAACCAGCTGGAATCTCTCTACGGGCATCAGGGGCCACTAGATGAAACCCTACCCAACACAGAAGTGCCCGTTCCTGGAAGAAAAAGCACTTCAGCACCGCCCACAGGCAGAACTGCACTATGGGTGTCTGTCTGCTGAGCCCCAGGCTGAATCGAATGACTTTTCTCACACAGGCCGCCGAGCTCCGTTGGCGTACGGACTCTCTGACAACCGGCAGGGCCTGATAACACCAAGTGAAGAGAGAGAGAAGTGTTTAAATGCTCAAAAGAGCTGATGTGAGCTTTCAGTACCAGCCTGTCCTGCAACACTGACCTTGTCTATGTCCAATAAAACAACACACCACTCACTTTTCACCATACGTTGCCATTCAGAAAATGTGCGTTTTCCTTCTGCTTATCATTCAGTAAAAGCATTTCTGATACCTTTATAGCTGACAAGTTAAAGATCCTTTAGAAATATTTGCTATACAACTTAATTTGCTGAGGGGGAAGGAAGTAAAGATGATATGCTTGATGTTCCACACCACCAAGATGGAACTTTGGGGGAAGGCACAGGCCTGAATCTCCTGCATCCAGATCTCTGCGCAATCGATACCGTGGCTGTGCTCAGTGCTGAGGTACGTCCTCTTTCAGGGTCTCACACTTCTTCTGTACTGACTCCAGCTGGTTTCAGTGGTGACTGAGTTGGCTCTCACCCTCTTAACTAATGACAGCGTGAAAAATACCATCACTGCTCTTTGTGACCGACCACCGAGGAGTTACTCCTGTCGGGTTTTTGAATCCAAGTTTACCTGTTCAAGTCCCAGCTAAGTCCAAATCCTTTATTCCACCTAAAGCACAGATCAAAGGATTGTAGAAAAGCAACTTGCTTCCAACAAGGAAGCCTTTTTTTTTTTTGACTCCTTCCCAAATCAGTAAGGACAACTTTAAAATAGATCTTAGACGTGGTTTTAAACCGTCAAACTTGTCTTCCTAGCAGCCCTCTGGTTCATCTTATTTCTGTAACACGCAATTGCGTTAGCTGAGAGAGACTTCTGGGTTTTCCCTTCAGTAACGATCGCAGTCCACAGCATCTTAATTCATACTCACTGATTCATCAGCCTGCTGGTTTTCTACTCGATGTTCTGGTTCTTGCTGTTCATTTGCATTATTTTGATCATCATCTTCACCTTCATCCTGGTGCTGGTTGTCACGTTCATAAGCTGACAAATTTTTGATGTTATTATTGTATTACAGCAGTTGCTAGTTAGCCTTAACTTAGCTAGTTAAGTCTCCTATATACTAGCTTCCATAGGTGCTCTTAGAAGTAGGCAGCCTTTCTCTAAAGAGCTTACCTCAACATGTAACGCTAACAAAATTGTTTTACTGCTAGGAGAAAACTGACACTGAAGGATTATGTCATTTGCAGAGATCAAACAAAATCACAGCCAGAGCTGGGAATGTTACCGAGATCCACAAAGCTCTGTCCTAGTACCTCAGTCTAAAGGACATTTTTTCCCTTCAGGAATGTGGATATGATCTCTAGTAATTCCTGTATTTCCCTCACTCAGTTCAGCCAGTACTATGGGAGCTTCTGGTTTTAAATTGTGAGTTTATATTTCACTTGAATCCAAACTGGATATGAAATTAATATTAAAATCTTGCACAGAAGGCAGTACACAGGGAACTTGTGAACGTGGCAAGCACGTACATTTTATCTTACCTCCTTCCTCTTCCTGAATACCTTGCTCTTCTTCCCCTTGTACGATATCATGGTCCATGTTGTCATAACGAGCCTGTTGGCTGAGAAAAATTAAATGCAAAGACATCAGTTCAGTTTCAAAAAAAAAAAGTGTAGTTTTGCTTTAACCAACGAACCACCCTACTGCGTCTCTGCCTCTCCCAGCTCCTGCCAGACTGGGTTCCAGTTTAGCTTGCTATTACCTAGTATCTCTTCACACCACCTTTCCTGAAAGAAGATATCCTTTATAGAACAAAGACTTTGTTGTCCTACCATACTAACTTCTGTGCTTGTATTTCTCTGTATCTCAGTGGGATCCACCTTTTACTTTCAGAAGTCCTAAGCTCGTATATTCTATAATCAAAGCACAAATACTATGAACTGGAAGGAAGGAACCTCTCAGATAAAGGGTCTTAAAAGACAGACGACACGGATCCGTTACTTTGTTGAAAAAGCAGTTTTAGCTTCCATCTTGAGAGGGGTTTAGTTGTGGTGGTGTTCTTGCAGGACTGAATATTTTGACTATCACTTTATGAAAGGCTCTCTCATACCAAAATCCTTTTAGGACATAGGTCAACTTAATAATATTTCAATGTTTCAGCAAAGAAAATGCAATGGGCTTAAGGTACCAAAAGACAAACAATTGTCACAAACAATTTTAAACCAAGCAGAAGCATAAGGAAATATGACAAGAGAGGGTAAGAGGCATGTAGAAGTTACAATTTCACGAACATAACTGCATTCACAATCACTTTATGACACTAAAAGGGTGTTGGTTTCTCCCAAAATCACGTTTTTCTCTGTACAATGTGAGTAATACTAGTCACTCTTGTCCAGAAAGTCCTCATGGAATTACTTAAAAGCAGCATCTGACACGTAAGAGGAACTTTAGCTTAGGTACTTGAGGCACCTCTGATACTGGAGCTCCTCAGCACTACAAGATCGTAATCGCTGCTTAGCAGAAAGTAATCACTAACTGAAAGACAAGGGGCATTGTATGGCAGAAGCCCCTAACCTCTCCCATGCACGGGCATGGCGAGATGCCCCCATTACTCCAGACTTCAGAGGCTTCCACAGTAAAAGGGAGAAAAAAAAAAAAAAAGAAGGAAAAACCCCTTAAAAGAACAATCAGATTTATCCTTGGAAAGAAGATGAGGCTCACTGAATTTAGTTTCTGGGCAGTCTCGGTTTAGAGCACTAAACCACCTTCTTTTCAAAGGCGGTGTGGTGGAAGCCATAAAACCTAGAGCACAGAGCACGACACACTCATGTAAAAGAATTTAACCTTAGCCGGTTTTTATAGAGTTTTTCTCCTTGCTCTGCCTGTTTCTGCAGCTGAAGCTCTTTCTCGTGAAGCTGCTGCTGCCGCAATAGCTGTCCTCGCAGCCTTTGCTGGTGCAGTGACTCCTGATGCTCTCGGAGCTGGCTGGCTTCCTCTGCTCTTTGGGCTGCAAGATGTTGCTGCTCTAGTTGTTCTTCGTAAGCTGGCTTATGTCTTTTTGTTACAGCTTTCGTGGATGTTATCTGTCAAAGAAACGTGTTAGGGATCGATTAACCGTCACTCCCACGCTCAGGAACAAGCACGCAGAAACCTGCGACGAGAGGGAAAACGATGCAGGTGCTACACGCAACGGGCAGAATGAAAGCAAAGTTATTTTAAGTTTTCTTCTCTCTGCTAAAAGTTTCAATTATTTTTTTTAACGCACACTGGAAGCGTTGGGGTGTTTGTGGAGGATGGGGGGAAGGAAGAGGAGATAACGTGCTGGGGAAGCCATGCTTTTTTTACACGTCAGTAATAATAATAACCCCTCCTCCAACATATTGCCAGTAAAAGGAAGTCTTGATGGCTGACGGTTAAGACAGCAAACACGCTTCCATTGATTTACCTGGTAATTTCAGTAAGGGTTGCTTTGAGCCTTAAGTGAGACACTGCCCAAGTTTCAGTCAGCAATAACGTAACCTAACTCCAGTTTCACAGATTAACCTGTTGCTGCCGCTCAAACCCACCGCATCTCTCCAATAACGGCTTCTCGTCCCACTGGAGTTGGACAGTGAATCTGCTCGGAGGCTAAGGCTTTACAAAGCCTCAGATGAGATCAGTAAGACGTATTTTCCACTCGGATCTAGAGTGTAAATCCAGGATTTACTAGTTTTATTTACAGCTGCACAGAGCAGGACTTGCCATTGCTGGGCACTGATTTCCACTGGCTATTTTAGTCATGTTCAGCTTCCAGTTAAAATTTCCTGTCAAACGACAGCAAGATAGATGGAAATGTGTTTACCGAAGGTCGGTATATCTGACAAGGAAACACACTGCAATTTGCTGAGATGCATCAAATTAGGAAGGCAGGGCAGCTCTCCCTCAAAGCGCTGAAGATAAGTCTCATTCTATCTTCTTCCCACCAGCTACCACGGAACTCAAATTTAAAGTAGATGGGATTCAACCCGACTGCTCTTTTTTCCCCCATCTGTTGCTTTTTCTCAGCAGAATTAACGTTCATTAAGCTGCACTTGGCAAGCACTGCAGCAGGTGTGCGCTGAAGCTGAACCTGAATCCTATGCATCCGAGTGCTTTGAATCCCAAATTTTCTATCAACATGACACTGATTTTACTCAGAAACAGGCGAGCACAATACGGGGCGAACAACAAGAGATGCCTCCACTGGAACAGCAGATTAATCGATTGGTAGAAAAGAGCAGAGCTCCTTACCTCTGAATGAAGATGATCACCCAACATGTTGGTTTCTTCTTCCTTCTGTTCCTGTTTTTTCCACTCATGCTCTTCTGGTACTTGATCCTGTTCCTCCTCTAAGTGCTCAGGCTGACCTGCCTGCTCCATTTCTTCCTCTTCAAGTTCTTTCTTGCGCTCCTCTTCAACTTGATCCACACGTTGCTCATCATCCTCTCCAGCCTCTTGTTGCTCCTGAATATTTAGTTCTTTGGCATGCTGGCCCTCATTAGCCCTTCTTTGCAGGTGAAAAGGCTCAGCTCTGTCTTCTTTCTCCTGGGTATCTATTTCTTCTCTCTCTTTTGGCTTCTCATTCTGCAAAACACGTACAAGAGCGTGTGTGGACAAGATATTCGGGATTTTGTATTTTCAAGAGAGCCAAGGACCAGACACCAATGCCTTTATTCCAGCCTGCAGTAGCGAAGCTGTCGTCAGGAGAGCCAAACGCCTGCTTCGGAACAACCTACCCCTCCTGCCAAACCGGACCAAGACCCGATTCTTGGCTCCGCAAGGTGTCGTACCATTGCCTCATGAAGTAGGTTAAGCCTCGTTCTAGCTGAAGTGGAACAAAACTATCACAATTCTCTATTTACACAGGAAGCTCCGTATTTTTATTTCCTGTAGGTTCCGCCGGCCAAGAACTCTTGTAAAACAAAACCACAACTGATATTGTCACGTCCAGACTTTACCCGCAACTTTGCTTTGCTTTCCTTTTGAACATGGGATAGCGTGCCAGTTTTAAATATACTGACTTAAGTGTGCCGCTGATAAAGCATGTGGAAAGGCAATTTCTTCAGAACTTGTTAGAGCTTTTCTGTGAGACATGAGATACCTAAAATTTTAGAAACCGCTTATTAATCAAAAGAATTAACGTTTTTAGCAACTTCTTAAAACAGCCTACATAAACTAGTTTTAAGAGCACTTACAGTCACGTGAGAAAAGGTTATAATGAATATATTTTCCTACTACTCAGCAAGATGAAACTGTTCCTTGCTCCTTGACTCAAGAACTGACAAACGTGTCCCATTCAACACACGCCTCCAACGGGAGTCAAGCGCCCAGCCAGCCTTTTGCTGAGTAAGAACCTTTTCCTGCAGCGACCGTCGCCAGGCACTACTTCATACCTCCTTATGCTCTTCAGCCACAGCTTCGTGGGGCACTGGGAGGTCACTGCGGGGAGATGCTGCTCGCCCCTCGGGTTGCTCGTCGGGTCGTTCCAACTTCTCCGGCTGTCGGAAACTTGGCATCTTGTTGAGCGTGTCCTTCAGCTGCCTGTATTCCTCCACCTGGGACTAAAGTCAACACGTGAATTAGAGCGCGTCCCAATCCATTTCTTAACAAAACGCAGACACCTTGGAGTAAACTTGCTGGCAAGACACGTGGTAGAAAGACTCGGTATTCACATTAGAGCAAACACCAGGGAGGAGAAGGGATGGGAGCTTTTAAAATTGGTTGTTTCCCCACACCAGATAACACTTGATTTATCACGATCTTTCCAGGCACAGTGCACATGCATACGAAGTACAGTAGAAGAAAATCTCTGTGGGACAAAGACAAAGGTTTGTTTTATTCATGCCAAGCAGGAAAATTGTCAAGAGGGGATGATGCAGTTTTCCTGGCAGACTAAAGCGAGGGAAATCAAGAGCACCTCAACTTCTCTTTTACTCGCAGAAAGAAGCGCAGTTCTCTTAGAAACAGTAATTTTAAAATATACATACAAGTCATGAAAATGCCAAATCCTCAACATTTAGACAGGTGTTACATAAGACAACAGCGAACATACAGAACTGAGACAAAGAAAGTCACAGTACATGGCTGGTGAAGAGCAAGGAAAAAAAAAAAAAAGAAAAGAAAAAGAGAGAAAAAGTAAATTTCTAAAGTCTTCCTGAAATGCAACAGTTAAACGTGGTAATTTGATTTGCTGTTTAACTTTGTACAAGACGAGGATACTTTCAAAAAGCTTTAAAGTCCAGTATAAGCTTCCAGACTGGTTGATACACCAGTCCCTGTCTATAGGGCAGACATATAAAAAGAGATTATTTTGTAAAGTAAAATCTCTGGGATGGCCAGGATTTATGAAAGCTTACTATACGAAAGATGGTGCCCCACAAGAGGGTTTCTCTGTTGCTCCAGTGGAGGCGGTGGGTATTTTTACTCCCCATTTTGAAGTCAGAAATGCATTTAATTTTTAAAATTCAGGTTAAAAGCTGGCTACAGCTTCCACTCGGTGACTGCGCATGTCACTGTGTGCGTTATGTGGTATCATAGCAATCAATAGTACAGCAGACAGGCGTGATGCATTGCTGCCCAATGCATAATCCTCATACAAAACAATATCCACAGTGCTACAGATTGACATGATGCAATGCGTAACAGCTCCGAAGCCAGACGCACCTCGAAGCCTCTTCAAAAGCCTATGGCATCCATTAAAACAGACGGGCCTAAAAGCAAAGCAGAACGCACAGTAATTACTCTTGGCTTTCCAGGGGGACACTTCTGCTCCCTGATTAACTGCTGGAGAGTCCAGTAAGAAGTTTTAAAGGAAAGAATAGTATTTTCTTAAGACTAATATGCAGGTGTTGATTCGCCCTCCCCCCCCTCCCCACTGACCACGCAGAGAGACGAATACACCAGGATATTTAAACAGTGCACGTCCAGAGCAGAATTCAAGTACTCTGCTCCGCTGCACGAGCCACTAAGCTGAACATTGTGATTCAAGGCCACAGCTCAAAATGGTATTAATGCTGGCAGAAAGACAGGGTTTACAAAAATATATAATGAATCTGTCTGGCCGTTTGAGCTACGGAAAAGTACAAAAATTACAATGCCTTAAAGATTCAGGTCACAGATTCATTAGTGCGATATTGATTACTGATATTTAATGTCTAGAATACACATAGAAATCGAGGGGTCACTTATCAAGCTGGGTTTCTAAGCAATAATCCCTTGTGAACTTCCTGTAGCTGGTTTGCAGGAGAAACTGTGCAACTGTAGTAAATACCCTCTGTTCTGAAAGGATGTGCAAGACCCTTCTCTCGAAGGAAAGGTTCTCCATACCATGAACGCCACATTCTGCTTGCAGATAGAAAGGCTTTGTGTGACACGGGTTTTCTAATTAAAGAACTGCCTCAAAGCCAGGAGAAGTATATGGAGCTTCCCTTTGGATTTGGTGGACCTTAAATCAGACCCCTGCGTCCGCCCTGGTGGCGTTTCAGATGTCAGCAAACACGTATCAAGGAGCTGACATGGCCAGTGGCAGAAGAGCATAAATTAACTGCCAGCATATTGCAGTTTGGGAACTCGGATTCTTCATATGAAGGACTTCCCTGGTCGTTCCCTATCTTTTGAGTATCTACACATATTGACATGCACAACAAGCAGAACCAGGAAAAAAAAAAAGATCCAATGCTTTTATTGCCGCTAATGATTTTGTGGACCGTGAAAATACTGAAATGAAAAAAATTAGTCAGGAATAAACTTCACACTGCCTCATTGCCTCTCCCTCTGATCTTTCACCAATAATACTCCTCTGCTCCAGCATCGCTCCTCCTTTCAGACTCCCTGTGGCCCACACAGCTTGTACTGGCACAGCTGACTGACTCTCCAATAGTCTGGCAAAGTTTGTGCTTCCCAGATAGCTCAGCTGAAAATGACATTTAAGAAAGGTAATGCTGCTGCTTCTTTTTAACTCGCCTGAGTTCCACCTGGAGCTTACATGCTTCCACACATCCTCTACCTCTGTTGCACTGATGTATGTAGCCTTCTAAACCTTCCAGTCACGCAGAAAAAGAGACTTTACAGTATACCTGCACCCAGGTCTTTATAAGCGATACATGTGAACGTCAGAGCGCGGGATGTTAAACTAACGTCAGTTCTACCAGAGAAGACAGAGAAAGAAAGGTATTCGACAGCTCTCATGGCAGCAGAGATACTCTTCTTAGCAGCAACACATGCATTCTCGGGCCTGTAATACAGCTTTTGATTTTCCCACAGCCCTATGATTTGTGGCAGCTTCTTCTTCAGAGCAACCCTTTCACTCATGCATTTCCCTGCGGTGAGCAGCGCGGTGCCAGCGGCAAATCCCCCATGCGAAAGGCCCCATGCACAACGTTACAGTCCGCTGCACTGGGAGAGACGAGTTTTGGGAAGGTTAGAGCTAGCGGAAGCTGCTTTCCTTGCTGACCTGTGCAGCAGCTAGCGCACTCTTGTGGTCTTCCAGTGTCACTACAAGCTGGTTGTGTTGGGAGAGTAAGTTCTTATGCTGTTGCTACACAAAAAGAAGAACGTTACACGTTTCACACAAAGTTCATTCTAAATGTAAATGAGGTAGCCTGGGGGGTTTTGAACTAGGAGGACAATTCAATTTATTTCAAAAAGAAAAATCCCGAGTTGGAATGACAGCATTTATTTATTTAACACAGAATGCATATTAAACAGACACAGAAAGCAAGCACGCCAGGAAAGAAAATTTGGAGGCCAGGATTTGCGTAACTCAAAGTTAAAAGTTGGAGTAGATGTCGATGAACGTTTTTTTTTTTTTAAAAAATTTAAAAAAAAAAAAAAAAGCTGGAAAACATTAATTTAGCAAGCTTAGTTTGCCAAAACACAATTCTTAACTTGCAAAATCAATTTTCCAATTCCAATACTAAATATGTCTCTTGTTTTAAGTGAGCACGTACCTAAAGCGCAGGTGGCAAAAACCAAGAAATCCAGTTCAGCCATATTCCTCTCCTTTTTGCCAAACAACAGAAACCACAAGTCTTCAGCACAGCTCATTTCTGGCTTGCTAAAACTTGGGAAAATTTTTCTTTTTGCCTAATGGTCTTGGAAAGTTCCTCTCAAAGCAAAGCCTACCTTGACATCTTGTAGCTGGGTGTGAATGTCTTGGTGAGCTTTTCTCAACTGTCTGTTCTCCTCCCGTAAGTTATACAGGGATTCTGTTCAAAAGAAATGACATACAGAATGTAAACCCTGTCAGATTTATAATACTAGACGAAGCACCAAAATTAAGACTGTCAATGCAAACTACATAAAATCCTACACAATTCCTACAGTATAAATGGACTGGAGTAATTGTATGGTTTGTTTATGTTACACCTCTCCTCAGCCCTACAAAAAGCTTTACGTTTTCAAGCAGAAAATGGTAAAATTTGGTTAAATTTTACATTGAGTGCACCCAGTACGCAACTGGAATTATGCATCACTGGTCACGCTGGGGACTGCGGACGGCAAAATTCATGATGATAATCCGAATCTTTAAAAGGCAGAGCGGAAGCCGCCCTCCTCTCTTCCCCTACAGCGCATCTGGCGAGTGAGAATTTTATGTTGTAGGGCCAAGCTGTTCTTTTGGAAGAGGCGCCCAGATGGCCAGTACACTTAAAACACTTCTGGGACCAGGGAGAGGGCCTTCTCTTCCAGCTTCTTACATCACGTCGATGTGGAATATCGCAAGCAGGCACAGGCAAGCTCGTTCCACACTCCAAGCTGCCAGGCGGCGATCCAGCCCCGTCGCAGAGCTAGCTGTGGGACTTCACCGGTGCGGTGCCAAGGCAGAACTAACAAACCCAGCCTCTGCCCGCAAAGTGCTGCGCAGGCAAAGCTGCAGACGGCTCCACAAGTAACTCATGGGTTACGACACGCGTCCGAAAGTGGCTGAAGGCCCTCGATGGGGAGAGCCCCGTCCTTTTGTTCTGTGCAGTTGTGTGATTAAAGGGGTCTGCAAACTGCAAAGAACCTCTTTAATAGGAAACTGGATGCTGAGAATAAAAAAATTGAATACTTCATCATCCAAGTGTACAGGTACACGTTTCAGAGAACCTGATATAGAGAGAAAATGAGGTCTAAGATGTATCTAAAGTAATTTCATAAAGAGGCACAATTAAATCTACGATACAAGTGGCAAACATTCTTAGATTGCCTTTCAATTACAAAAAGGGAGTAAAGAGGCAAACCTATTTTTCCAGGTTTATAGAAGCCTCAGAACTAAAAATGAAAGACTGGCTGAACCACTTGACAGGCTTTTAAGTGCTGTGTTTCTTGCTGTTTGTCTAACCTAGATAGAAACACGAAGCACACAGATGAACAGATTTCAGAAAGAGGCCACAGAAAATCATCAATAAAATGTAACTTATCAGGAGGCCTGAGATGCATGAATGACCTGTTAGTGAGAACAGAGAAAACGCCTTTCTGCCTCACATCCCCCAAAACACAGCAACAAATACACATTCTAACACAGGCAGGTTACAGACCCAGGTTACATATACCCTTCAGCTTAGAGATCTCCTGCTCTTTTTCCTGCTGCAGCTGTAAGTATCGCTCCTTGTGATCACTGAATGTTCTGCTAAACTCTTCTCCTTGTTTTCGGTGATCTTCCTCAAGGTCAGCGTGCTGTTTCTTTAGTTCTTCATGTTGACTCTGCAAATATCAAGTTGGGACACTGGAACAGTTCTGTATCTGCCTATCTGGCTAATATTGTCTTTGGCGAATTGTTAAGTAAGTCCAGATGAACAGGAAGCATTCATAACAAGCAGCTTATTATTCAAAGCATGCATATCGCAGCTCCTTCCAAACACAAAATGATCTCTGATGAGCAGTCTCCTGTTCTAGGGCTACGTCACCTCACCCTGCAACTGCACTGTCCCGTTGAGAGCTGCTGAATGTGTCGAAGAAAACCCTTACAGGCCAAACTACGTAAGAAGTCAGCATTTCATACAAGTAACTGCACTTGAAAAGATTAAATTGCCCACTGGAAAGCCTGACTAGGAAAAACTGCAGTAAATCATCTTTTAGCAGTACCGTGGTAAGAGGAAGGCCCCATCGATGTACAGACATTTCTGGAGTGAGCTACCAGAAGCTGGTGAGGCCGCATCTGCCTACACAGGACACTGGTATTCTGCTACCTCAGGTACCTACCTTCAGCATCTGGTGTTGCACACTCAGCGCGCTGTATCGGCTGTTGGAGTCTTGCTGCAAAACAAGACACCAGCGTTAAACAGAACACTACTGTCCTGCCTCTAACCTCTGCACGCGCGGCTCTTGGAGTCGCAAGCCGAGGGACGTTAATCCCCAGGAAGCAAATTAATCTCTCCACTTGCTCTGGAACACAGCAAGCACCTACATACTGTGCACTTACTGCAGCAACGATGGATTTGAACTTCTGTTACTCAGCTCACAAACTGCTCCCCAGTTTCAACATGAAGTAGCCATAAAATCCTAATTTACTTGCTTTATATAAAGAGTTCTCTACAGGTCTCTGGGTCCTTTGCCAAACACAGCTTTCCTTCTGGCACTTGGTACATAAAACAAAGTTTCCTGGTGTTTTTATACTTTCCAGTTCAAAGACCACATGTTAGAAATTTGTCACTGTCCTTTCTCTGTGGACTAAGCTACAAAAAGATTTCTAACGCCTTATTATTCCCCCTTCCCCTTAAAAATGGTAACATCACGTTTGAACTACTATAATATAAACAGGAGGATATTTTCTAAATTAATTTTCTGGAAACATATTAGGATCTCTATTACAGCTCCAATAATGAGGAACTACAGAGCACTTACGCATGCAGAGCAGAAATTGAATAAGTGAGCGCTCTTTCAATTAGCATTTTGTGAGACCTCTTCCTTTGAGCAGTGTAATTGCAAAGCATTTCCTTTTTCTTGCAACTCAAATAGCATCAACTATTAAAAATGTATACTAGGAATGATGACTTACCCTTCCTTTATTTAGTGTTTCCTGTGCTTCTAGTTTATAAACAAGAAAATCTACAACATAAAAGGGAAAATTCTGATGAAAAGAACCAGGAAGATTACAATCAGTACTTAAATGACATAACTGTTGCGTACATAAATTCTCTTAAGAGCTGAATACTTACGCAGTTACAATTTTCCAAAAGATTTTCAAAAAAACTACGGAGAATTTAACAAAATGCCCAAATTTTGACAAAATAGTTTCATTAAAAAAAGTTTCACAAAATAGTTTCATTAAAAAAAGTTTCACAAAATAGTTTCATTAAAAAAAGTTTCACAAAATAGTTTCATTAAAAAAAGTTTCACAAAATAGTTTCATTAAAAAAAGTTTCACATCTTAGTGTGAGATATAGGGGGTACAGGCTCAAGACTACAGATGGGTACTTACATCTGTTACAAGAATACACGATTTATACCTGTATTTACACGATTATAAATGTCCTTCTCTTTTTGAAGGATGCTGCTGGGCTTCTACTGAGAGAGTTCATGTATTAGAATAAACAAGTATGTACTTCAAGAAGTGTGAAAGTCTAGACTAAGTTTAAATAAAACAAAAATTTCCCCTTTTGTTCCTTGATCCTCTTTTCAGGATCTGAAAATGCAACTCCCCTTTGCAGAGCAGCAGGGCAGCTCTACACTAGATGGCACCAGAAAGCTATCGAGAACTGCACGGTACCAATAATTTCTTACACCACCTTGGTCTTTCCTAAAGGAGATGTTCTAATTCAGCAGCCGAGTCCTCAGCTTTAGGAAGAATACAGGCTCTCCTCGGAAAATTGCGGTGAATTTAGAGCCACAAAAGACTCAGAGGAAGCCCAGAGGCCTGCATTCTGCTGAAGGTTCGTTCAGAAAGGGCAGACGTGTAAGAAACACATGTGCCAACATTTCCCCCTCACGCACACCTACAACTTCGTTTTAAATCAGAAAAAGGTATGTAGGCATGCGTTTACCCTTAAGCATGTGTAAAAATACTAATTCAGAGTCTAATTTCACACTGATGGAATGCAGGAAAAGATCCCATGGCTTCAGTACAGGTTTTAAGTTTTCAAGCATGCTGGAACAGGATTTACACATGCCTGTACTCCACATATGGGCTGGCTTTATGTCCATCCATATACACATATTCTCCGTGTACACTATGCCATGTTGCAGTGATCTGTACACAGTACTAAAAAGATCATTACTTTCTAAAAAGATTAAATAAATAAATCAATCAAATTTAAAAACAGGTACTAAAAAGACCCCCGCAGATCTGCCGAGGCGGTCCTGCTAACGTGTTATACATTGGCAACTCGTTTAAAATTGAACAAAATACATCCGAAGTTACTTTCTAAAATAATCAAGTTATCTTAAATGTCAAAGTGAAAAGCACGTTTTTACCTTCTTTCGCTTTCTTATGTTCAAGCCTTTCCTTTTGTAATGACTTTTCTAATCTTGACCTGTGCTCATATACAACTGAAAAGAGAAATTTTGTACACAATTCATTTTAAAAGTAATATATACAAAACACACCACCAACCCCCAGCACACCCACAGAGCATTGGCACAGAATGTACCAGGAAAATACAAGTGGAATGAGGTCATAGGATAAAGGACTGTTTGTATCATTTGGGACAGGAACTTTTTTTTCTTTTCTTTTCTTTTTTTTTTTGCATGCTTTATTGATCCTGAATTCTGGGTTATTTCCATTGCATAAACACAGAACGTGCCAACCGTGCGAGTGATTTGTTTAGGCAGACAGTCAGCTCTGGTGGATCTACATGAAAGCTACCAAATCCTGTTTCCACCTTAGGTGTGCAGGTACACATTTTCCCGTGCTTTCCTTCTCTCCTGCCGTGTTTGTGAAGGGACAAGGAAGTAAGACAGGACAACTTTACTGTTGTAAATCCTTGCAGCAAACAAACTGTCACAAGGAGGGAACAGAGATGCCCAAGAGCAGGACGGCTTAGAAAGGTGCAGTAGTACACTAGACCGGCTGCTTAGGCTAAGACATGGAGAACCCGAGATCCCTTCCTAAATTCTTCCAAAAACTTGGACCACTCAGTTTTCTGTGACCTCCTTTTTTTCTGAAGCCTGGGCAGCAGTATCCTTTTACACCACAGCACTGTTGAAGACCCACAGACTGCACAAGCGCTTAGGTAGAACGTCCTGCATTGCTTAGTAAGCACGTGCTGACAGCAAGTACACATATGCTGAAGCAATATCCATATAAGCTGAGAAGGATTTGGAGGGGTTTTTTCACCCCTCAGTTAAGGAGATAAGGCAGAAGAACAAAATAAATCAGCTGAAGGGTTAAGATAGCTGAAGTATAAAGCTAAACCACACGCTTCTCTGTAAGGCTGGGGCACCAGAGACTGCTCGTCAGGACATCATTTCAGCTTGAGAGTAAAATTCAGTCTTCACTGATTTTTAAATCCATTTATGCATGTTCTTTAATTGAGTCAAAATACCCACACAACAGCCTAGAGATGAATAAATGGTCTGCGTACAGCGCTTCAGCCAAAAAACCAACAAGCTGAGGTTTTGGGGGCACCACTCGTAGTGCAACCTGAACATCCTCAGGTCACGGTAGTCACGCCAGGTGTCACGTGCTGTGTCGCTGTCTCCTCCAGCAGGGTCACCAACAAAAAACTGCGCGTGTTTGCCAAATTCTACAAGCCCTTTGAGCCAATGCTGCCACCAGAAGAGGTGGTTCTGCTGCTTCTTCTCATGCTGTCCTTCGCTCTCACTGTTACGGGTGATGGGACAGCAGGACCTAGCAGTTGGGGACAGGGGGCGTAACAATTTCGTCTGGTGGCAGCGCCAGCCTGTACAGTTTTTAAGAGAGCAGCAGTGACAACTGGCAGTGACCTGGAATGCTGGGTGGCATGGCATGGGACAGACTGCTCTCCAGGTTTGATCACAGAAAGCAGAGACAACCTTATTTCTAGATTTTTGCAGTATGACAACCACTCTCGGTCCTATCAATGGTCCAACAGGCCAACCATGCCACCCCTCAAGACCTGACAAGAGCAGGTACCCAACGTGGACTACACACAGTGAGTTTCCTTGTCACTGTCTCCCAGCAATTTATGACTCCTACAGACTGTCCGAGGCGACCGCTCAAGCTCGGTTTAACACAAGTACCTTTCACTGTCCAACTTATAATTTGCACTCTTAAAGAATTATTAATTTCTATTAATGGAACATGTGATTTTTTCCTTCAAAATTAGGAAACTCATTTTCTGAGAAGTAAACCATTGGTGACCATAAGCCTTCAACAGGAAGCATCAAAAAAAGATTTATTTATATCTTGGCAGCCACAGAAAACTCTCGCACCTTAAAACATGTTCTTAATTCCACCAAGGTGCATTCTGCAGGCTCTTTAGCTACTGGCTTATCTACAAGTGTTTACAATTTAGCTTAGAAACTGGATAGCTAATCAATCCTTGTCATCTCTCTGTACTTCGCTATTTATCTTCTAAAGTCAAGGGCATCAGTCAAGATGAACTAATGTATCAACATCCTCTGCAACAAAACAAGCAGGTAATGAATATTCAGTGTCACCAGCAAGTAAGCTTTCAGAGGAGGGGAAAAAAACGGCAGCACTACAGTAATGGTTTTATCTAGGCACCGAAAATTGTGAATGCCGAATTACATTGCAAAAGGACCAGTGGTTGTAGCATAGCAACTCGGGAGAGAAATGAAAATGCGTAATGGGCTTCCCCTCCCATGCGATCAGGCTGGAAATGGGCTTTTTGGCAAACAGACTGAACCACAAACGGATTCGAGGTTACATTTTCATTTCACTTCTTTGTCCGCAACCGTACCTTCCTCAGCTCCTCCACAGAGGCAGGGGGGAGAGCGCTGCACAACCAACCCGTAATAAAGGGCAGGAAGAAAGGAGCGGGAGAATGCAGGAGTTTGGGTTTTCGGGACCACGGGGCTGTGCGCCTTTCACAGCTCGTCACATCTCTGCTGAGCTTTGGCTTTCCTGCCTTCACCCTGCCCTTTGACGCAATGTCTCTACACCTCTGCCAGGCAGGGCACCCTCACGGCCACCTTCTGTGGGCTAACCTTTGCAATGCTGCAACAAAGCTGGTAACGTCTTAAAACAGCCCTTCAGATGGCCAAAAAGGGCTAAGAAAAGCTTCCTCCTACACCTCTCCCTTTTTAGTTCATTTACTGGTTGGTCCAGCAACGTTTTTCTCTGATAAAAGTCCATGATGTGCAATGGAATGAAGATTTTGATTAAGAATAATGATTAAGAAATTAAGAGTAGGTTGCAGGTCAGATTTTTTTAAGTACATACAGGAGTTCATCTCCCATAAACATAAATTATTCCCAGCAGTCAGGAACTTCCTAGCCAAGAAGAGTCCAAACTACCAGGCTCCTGTTACTACAGCAGGGGATTTCTTGTTCTTCACTATCAGCCTGGATAGAAGATGTCCGAGCAAGAATCTCAAAGAAATAAATACATTGAAAAAACATGTTTTCTATTACAGGTTTCCCAGCTGGGGGGTTGAATCTATGTAAGGAACCTGACAAATTACTGCTGCTGTGATGCACCGACAGGGCATTTCACAAACCATTTTTTCCCAGGGTAAGTTCTTAATTTTGTACTGATCTTTGCCCAACAACTGAACTTTGTTTCTATGTTATATTTAATAGAATGGTATGAAAAGAAGGGGAAAAACCCAATCTAATGGCTAATACGCACTATTCCCAAGCTTCAGAATAACCGCAGGTATCAGTTTAATTCTTGAAGTTACCGATATAACGTAACCTACACGAGTGACCAAAGAACAACAAACTCACAGAGGGATGATCCAGCCTCAAAGAGCAGAGCCCAGAAACAGAACTGGTAACATCACAGCTAGTTAAAACACCTTTCACCTTCAACAAGGAAATATTTAACAGCTCTTGAATTGATCCCAATTAAGTCAAGTCGTTGATTTAAGATTTTTCTCATACAGAAAAGCAAGCAGAGGAGAAAGGGGGGGGGGGGGGTGTGATGCTCTATAGGTTCTTAGAAGATTATACTGCTGTGACCATTGCTGAACGTTAATTGCAACACAGAAGTCAAGCGGTGTGATGAAAGCAAGCTTATTTAACAGTCATGGTTATTTCTCTTTGCTTTGCACCTCTAAGCAGTAAAACTACTATTAAGCAAAATAAGCCATTATTGTATATTTAAAATAAATTATTTCCTACTTTACATTATCAGCAATTTTGCAACTGCGTTACTTTGGTATTTTGGTCTGTCAGAAGCATGATTTCAGAGCCTAAGATACCCCAGCTCCCACTCTCTTACACACTGGAAAATTAAGATTAGATTGGGATTTGAATATCCGTGACGCAAGAAATTGTATTACTTCCCATGTTATTGTTTCTTATGCAATTCTGCAATCTTTCTCTGAGCTTACAGTATTACTTTTCATTTAAAACCAGCAGATTTCAGTAGTCTTGGCAACAGTCAATGTTCTTTTCTCTCAGACTGTGGCAGAGTTGAACTGAACAGGCAGCGTGTGGTAAGCCACACTGGCACTTTTCTAGTAACACTATGAAGGTCTGTAGAACATAGACTTGCTCTAAGAACACAGTTAATTTCCAATTCTTCTCACTGCAAACAGAGCCATTTAAAATGTGAACCCATGCAAGCAGCTCTTCTGCTGAGAGTAAAGCATTTCCATGAGCCAAGGAAGAATCCCTTCAATACGGGGAAATAGCAGAGATTTCCCAGTCTAATGACAATCACTAAAATTTTGATCTCACAAGATATTTCTTGACTCACTTGGTGCTAACGTTTCATGCTGGGAGAACACTTTTTTAATATAGCAAGACCTGCTCCCCAGGCTTCCAGCTCTGTGTTTGATTAAGTCACTGAATCTGGCTTTAAACAAGGAGATCCACTATTTCAATACCGATAATCGTATCAGAAACAGATTATCAAACTGTGGGAAGCTCCTGAACAAGTATTAGGATTTCCCCAGCACAGTACAACCCATACTGGACACAGTGTGCACTCCATCTATTTCAAGGACTCTCAAAGGAGAGTCTTAGCAATAAATGGATATTCCAGTATCTAAGACACAATGGAAGTATTCCCACAATAAAGACAAGGAAAACTGTGTTTTAAGTACAGCGCAAGAAAATGACGTTACACTAACCATATATTTTAATATAGTGAACAAAATACTGAAGCCATTTCATATTTTATGCCCTTGAAGTTTTCTGTTTTGAATTTATACAAGGACAGAAATAGAAGCCAAGATAATGTGAAACCGATTGTGTGTGAAAAACAAGCATTTTCCCGGCTTAATTATGCAACAATTTTGCATACAGGCAGGGACGGACTGCTCTCAATTTGCTCACTGAAAACCACAACTACAGGCAGTATGACAGTTACATTTACTTTAAAGTAAACCCCTACACTTTTCAATTTACTCACGTTAAGAACCATCAAGTAATAGCTT